GGTGTAGTTGACTAGATGTAAAAATGAATCATACACGGTCATCACGACTATAGTAACAACATTACTACGTTTGTGCTGGTAATTTCGTTGACACCTGTTTTAAATGTTTTTTTTAAAATATATCAAAGATGAGTCAGATTATGTCATTTTTAAACTGATATATAATACTTGTAAATTTTTGTGGATTATCTGAAATTCACATTTTACATTACACTTTCTTAACAATGAGTTTTCGCTTAAAAGCAGACTGTTACATAAGGAATATTCCTTTTTGATAACTACGTCTTTGAGTTCTATAGCTATATTACTCGTATTAGGCAGATGATAAGCCACACAAAGGCTTTTTACGTTAACGTTCCTTTGAATCTAATAATAGAAAGTTATTTGATTTAAGACTGTCAGTGTTTTAATTCAGATACTGTCGGAATTCTTTTCAAAGTGAATACACACATGGTTGCATGTTTGCTTCTTTAGGGTGAAATTTTACTCAGAGTCAATAACTTTAAATGATGTAATGGATAACAGTTGCAAATAAAGTTTCAGGGTGAATTGTATTCAGTGCAACTATAAGGGTTATGTAAGCGCTTTAAAATTTTTTATTCTAAGGCAGGCCACAGCAGTGACAGAATTTATTAGTGTTTCTTCTGCGTGTATAATGCAGGTTTTTATACTTCGAATTACTATGATATCTGCTGTGTACCTAATCCAAGACCTATTTGCTTTTCGCAGTCTGACAGGAACAAGGTAAATATTCGAGAATGATCAGATCATGATAGATAGCCTTGTAGACTGTACGAATTAGACAGTGTTCACAGACCTAGTTACAATCAACCTTTATAACGCCATTGCTAATCTACTCTGAAAGTTGTTTATGTGCATTGGTGGATAATCTTGCGAGACAACAACTAACATAACCACTCAATCGATGGATATTTTCATAACCATGAGACAGTGTGGATACGCCTCCTTCAAGAAGTGATGACTGATTAACTTGCATAGCATACGTGGGAAAAGTGCACTGACTTTGTTGATATGATGGGAAAAGTGAAAAAAACGTGGGAAATAAGTTCAAAACTAGTGAAGCGACAGTAAAAATGGGATAGATGTTCGATCACTAGATAAAAAACATGGGATAAAATTATACATACTTATGATTCCAGTTATCTGAAAGATGAAAAGAAGGTGGGCTAAACAGTTGTTTTTCTGCCCAAGATAGAAACAGTTCAGAAAGTGACATTAATAACTTTAAATTATTATTGTTACTCTATTAATTCATGCTCACCTGGCAATTTGTCAGTCTCTTTCTACTATGTACATGTGTAAGGAGTAACATTATGAATTTCGATAATGAAGTCGGATTAATTTAGAAAGGCAAGAAGCATACTGAGTCCCTTAAGAGTATTTACTTCATTTACTATTCACAGTGATAGAATGCTCGCCAGCCACTCAGGTGGTTCTGGGTCCGATCTCAGGCTGACGCACTCCCTTAACTCGCTAATCCAGTAAAGAGAGAAGGTTGGGCATGAGGCAAGCAACCCCATCGCATAAAAATAAATACCACTGCTACAGAAGCTTCAAAGCTCTATCTTGAAGCCCTATGTTCCACCGAGAACGTAAAGAAAAAAATAAAATAAATACTATTCACTTTTATTGCAGCTCTGAAGGAAAAAATTCCACTTACATGCCACAGATGGCCATAGTACACTATTAATAAAATATATCTCTAGATTATTTGTTTGTATTATGATGCTAGATGCTTCTGTTCTTTTTTTAATAACTAAGGAAATATGTTCCACCATGAATTATACTCATTCGACTAGCAACTATATGACATGTGAAAGTTCCAGCAGCATTTTCATACCACCATATCGTAAGTTTCCCTGGAATAGTAAATACTTAATAACTTTCAAACTGATGCACATTATGCTACAGAGACTACTAAGAGTAGCTGCAAAAAATCTGGGCAAATAAATTCAAAGGGAAACCTTGACGGGAAGCAAACGGCATGTTACTAAGCTATTCAAAAGACAGGATTATGAGTTAACTAGTATTTGGATGCAGTCATTCTAATGTGTTTGAATAACTAAGCCATGTACCGTTTACTTGTAGTCAAGACCCTTAAAAGAATCTCTTTTAGAGATTAGGGTAACTACGAAGTAAATTAAACACCGCATGAAGATAAACACTTAGCTTCCACTTAATTCAGTTAATAATATAATGTATGAGAAAAATCATTTCGCATAATATTCTTGTGTTGCACATAAAATTATTGTTGTGAGTTTGCATTTTCTCATAGTAGAAGCCTAATGATGAATATTGACAACTTTTCACTGTTTACTAGCGGCACACAACAATTTCGTCGGACATTTCTCAGGTTGGTATAACCGTTCTCCGGTGATATACTTTTTATTGGTGTAAACAGTTTACATTAATCTGTTTTCACGATCTCTTTTAAAGGGGACTTAAAAATTGAACTAATCAATGCCTCAGGTATATATCTTTTCATCTATATTGTTGTTTGTGATAATCACGCTAGGTCACACGTGACCTCTACAATTACCGTGACTGCGGAAATGGATATGATTCGTTTTTTAGGGCCAAACAATTCAAAAACGATACATAATATATAAAAACAGTGGAGCACGTAAAAGAAATGATTATTGTTATAGAAGCAAGACAGGTGGGAATTGTCATAAGAGCATTTGTCTGTTGGTATTCTGGACTCTTTTCCTAGGGATCGCGTGGTACTGTGACACTAGATCAGCAGTAGGATTGATAAATCAAACAAGAATCGACAGTTTTTTGAGTATTTGAATTTATACATTGATACTGTCCGAGACATCTGAGTAAATATTATTTTATTTGACGATTAAATGTCTTAGCATTCTCTAAGTTGCTGTCATATACTAAGTCCTAATGCAATCGCAATGCATACATAATTTTAATACCTGAAAGAGGTTTATTAAAAGAATATTCTTTGTCTTCATTTGTTATAAATCGCATGGGTATTTTCGCCTCAATGAAACAAAAAAACTTATAAACTCTGAGTTTTGAATATACCAGGAACACTTCAGTATTGAAGACGACAGAAGGTTGCTGACAAGTGATGTGTGTAATGGTGGTCATGTTATTTTCTAATGGTAACTAAATAATGCACCGATAACGGGATATTTAAAAAAATTCTAGGTATTTGGCTAAAAACGTTTCTGCCAAGTATTTATGACTTGCTGTTTGTAAATTTCCAGTTAGTGCAAACATAAACTGATTACTGATAAGAAACTTTTGGCCATAATGAAATTTCACCTAAACCTAAATAAATTATGCCTGCATTTCCTTGATGATCACCGATGCCTAAAATCTGTTTTAGTGGCATGAAGTTGAATAGAATAAGAAAAACATAAGCTTCATTAGTTACGATTCCAGCCATTATGTATATGCTATGGTGTGCCTGCAACCTGTTAGAAAGCATCTTTTATTTTGTGTTTATTATGTATGTAGATATTCATTTTTCTCTGGAGTGATAAAACGTTTCATTCACATTGTTCGTAGAAGTTATTAAAATACATATGTCCTCTCGAACAGACTGAACTCCATCAACTCTATTGGTTGATACGCCAGCTAACTGACATGACAGTCTTTTGAGTAACCAACTAAAGTATTAAAAATCAAAACATCTGATTAACACATAACAGTGTGGTGAGAGCTGTCTACTAGCCAAATTGGTAGACAGTAATTTACATCAATGTTTACGTTCTCAAGATTTGTCGTGAGAAAATATGAACAAAGACTGATTCAAACCGACCACAGCAGACTTTGAGTAGGCGGATACAATTAACATATAAATGATCTGACATTCAAGAAACAGTCACAAAGAGATGAATGATTAACTTTAAGTGAGAAACAACCAATCAGAAGACTGTGTTTGTTTGCTTAACTAAACTATAATAATGTATATGAAAATATATAAATATGCTTTGATTTCCTTAATAAATGATCTGTTGCCTGGCCTTTGTCTTCTGTTGTTACAACAGTAGTGATAATCCTACTGAAGTCATACAATCAGTCTAATTCCTCAAAAGGTTGAATATGATCACCAATGTCTGTTATGTCTTAAAAAAGTGAACGTATATGCCAAGTATATTTTATTTTTAGTTATTTGTTTTATAAATAAAATATAGGCTGTTTGATAAAAGTTTCCTGTTGAATTTAGATTCATACAGAAATCTGTGATCCCCATCTTTTATTCGGATGAGCCTAGGAGTAATCTTAAGGTGTTTTTGCATATAGTATAGCTGATGGATCAACAGATATTACAGTTGTGGGGTTAAAAAAAGTTCAAAAAATGGGGTACAGCAGGTCGAGTGTGAGGACAGATACCTGCCGAAGCCATTGGCTAGTGGTGGCGCTACGTTGTGAATTGGCAGAAGTTGGAATTCGTGAACCTTTGGATCGGGTCCCAATGCCTTAACGGTCTACGAGCTCATCTTGTAACCAGAAGGTCCTGGGTTCAAACTCCGGTTGGTACGTACTGCTGAAAAGTCCTAAACTAGTACGAAACAACTGTCCAGTACTCCCAGATTTTCTAATGGTTCTTTAACAGATGTCAGCTGATGACGAAATCCTGTAATCAATCAAATTAAATTTGTGCAAAACAACACTTGGACAAAGAAAAATTGACAAAACACTAAAAATTATTAATACAAAATAGTAAAAGACATTGCACAACACCAATTACCTGAGGAAATTGAGATTGTGACTGACTGCCTCTGTTATATCCTACTAAATGGGCGGAAATGAAAGAACGATAAATTTGTTTCGGCCATAAGGTGTATACTAAATGTTCCAGTCAATGGCTTTTAATCTGGGACATTTTGTATTGCTTATAATTCCCAAGTCATTCATTCATTCAAAGTATTATAATATAATAAAACAATGAATGATAAACAAATAAATGACAATGAAAATAAACACTTTTCTTTAAAAATCAAGATAATATTTACTTGATTATTTGCCAAGTGAAGACTTTTCATCAGTTTCAGTCGTGATATAGTAGAAGGTAGACTTTTCAACTGATTATTTGATGCTGATAACTTTTCCAGTTGTACGAGTGAACCAATTTCAGACGGTAGGCTGTACAGCTCATTTGTATCCAAGATTAATATTTTAAGGTTAACTAAATAACCTAAAAGAAGAGAAGAAATTTTATCAATGAAATGTAGTACACATCATATATGTGTCTAAGGTTATCTGACCTCAGTAAATTCACTAAGTCCTATGTTCAAGTTATGAGTGATTTTTCAGGAAAACATATAAGCGTATAAATGCAGTCTTTGAGAGCAAAGTGTATGCTTTCCATAATATTATTTCAAAAATTATTATTATTTCGTTTCAACTGTTACCTTACAGTTCTAACTACACTGGTTAAAGTCTGGTCTTCAGGATCTAACTAATAGATTTTAACTTTATATTTCTAATTTCTCGAACGCCTAACTAATTTCTGACTCCATGTTACAACAATACTTTAGCTATTTATGGTATTGATCATTTTATCCCTGACTGAAACTTAGTTTTCATTCCTTGAGTTCTGAACAGAAAATAGGGTTTCAAACTGCTTTACGATTTCAGTACGCGTACTGTTCTTTTACAGGTAGCCGTTGCTGACCTCACGCACAATCTTTCCTCTTTTTCGGGCTAACTACTTGCTGGCAAGGTGGTCAAAGTTTCGGAGTGGATCTACTGAGAATCGAACCAAGACCATGTGTATGACTGGCAACCATTCTATCATTAAACTACTACAAAGGATATTTTATGAAAATGAATTTACCTACATAATCAATCCGGTAAAACAGGAAATTAGTAAAGTCGTTGAGTGCTTTACATTCTAGTTTAGATATTCATTATGTGGCTGTCTCAGTTAACGCCTAGCAGACTGCTAAACGAAACTGTAGAAGATATAAAGTGTTAGACTATAGTAATGGTGACTATTAAGAAGGTATACACTCAGAGATACCTAATAAATTCTGTCTCATCTTACCAATATGCTTGACACTAAGAAAACCAAATACTTAATGCTGACTATTAAAATAATGACGTGGTTTTAGAGGATCATAGTAACTCTGAAACTTGTGTAGGGCTAATATTAAAATCGATAATATTTTTCTTTCTAAAATCCAACAGTTTCTAGGAGATTCCTATGTTGCATATGTTTCCATTATAACTTCTGGGGATGTTAACATATGATAGCTTAAATCATGAGCTTCAGTAAATTTTTTCAAACCTTACTGATGCTGTTACATGTGAAGAGAATAAAAATCCAGTTAAAAAAAGCTGGATGACTTTGAGAGAATAATAAAGTATTAAGTTCAAATAGAAATGATATTTTATTAAATAGGCTCGTATTCTTTACCTAGTGAGGATTTAATTAGATAGCCCACTAAACATTAATAATCAAGATTAAATTTTAGGGTCATATTAGTTATGACACCTCAAATAACCTTAATGACAAGGATGTCTTCAGCACCAATGAATTATTTTTCAGGAAATCACAGGCAATCAACGGGAAGCTGCAAACACAATTTTAGTGTTTGTTTGCTCTGATAGTTAGTGTGTGCTTGCATCTCTTCGTCACTTATCAAAGATTCAAGCTCTCATCATTTAAGATGTTATAACTGATTTGCTTACTGGAAGCCAAGAGCTATAACCATTTCTTTAGTCTGTTTACCACACAGAACACTAGATCAGTAGAATTCGGTAAGCACTCAAAGTTTAGATAACGTGACATCTTTCCACCTAATATAAGACACAGTGGGACAGTATAAATAACTGTATGATGTTTCGAGCACAATTGTTTACTCATATATTATAATTTACAAAGCAGTGATAAACGAATAACGGGGACAATAAAAAAGATGTTTCCCTGCAGCTAAACTTGTTGGGTTAAACAGCACCACCTGCTCAATAATCCAGTCTAAACAGTATAAGTACCCTGCTGATGACACTTCCAACTACGTTTAAGATTTCATATACACTTGCCTTAGAAAATACATTATAAAGACAAGAGGAAGACTACTATCTGATTTTCTGAAGATATTCCAAGAAATGCATGTTTAAAGGTAAGCAAGTATTTACAAAGAGCAACTACCAGACACTTAGTGGATACAGAGAATGTAGTGATTTCCAAATCCTTCAAAATACTAAATACTCAGAGAACACGAATTGCTGAAGCGGTTGTTTTCAACCGAACTTATACATACAGAAAGAGAGTATGATCAACATCTCACTTCCTGAGAAACTACATTTTAATCTTTACGGCATTGATCGTATACTCATCTATGTTGGTGAATTCAGCTTACAGGGCCATTTTCAATCTCACAAACTAGAATTTTTCGAGTTGTTATATAATGTTATAAGCTAGCAGCGTTTAATATATCTTCTATCCTCTGCTGCCGCTCATTTTCTACTTTGCATAGTATATAAAATTATGACGACTTGAACTAAAAATTTTGTTTACATTTTGCATGCCATAATTTATAATATTTTCTCTGTTGTCATTTCAACATTGAAGCATGTTATTTTCTGGAGGTCCACAGCTGATGAGAATTCAATGAAATCAAATTATATAACTTTTGCTGCATATTATATGTATATACTAACTTATTGATTAACAATCTACAGTATGACATTCTCTGTTTTCAGTAGTAAAAATGAAAATGGACGCTGAGTCAGAAATGTGATTCATCCTAGGGACCTTAGTTTATTGATTTTGGCAGAATAATAATAATTTTTATTTCTATTTTTATTATTCATTTTGTTTTTTACGATAAAAAGCTAAAACATGCTAATTACAGTTATTTAAAAAGCTTTATTACTGTCATCATTACTAATGAAAATAGGTGAACAATTGCTGAAACCAGATGTTAGACTGTTGATTTTTCAATCTGTTTTTTTTAAACTGTTTAACAACACTCACAGTTGACTGTGTATATTGTCGATCATCTAAACATGAAATTCAGTCAAAAGCATAATACGACTGTCTTCAAATTCATTAGTTTATATTTTATAAAATGACTCACTTGATGACATACAATACCACCGATATCCATTTAGATTCGCCTTAAAAGGCAGACAAATATGATTGCCTTAGCAATTGGTTTGTATTCGCTAATAAATATGGTTGACTCAATCTCCGAATTTTCCCTAAACTTCCTGTAGTCATTTATAGTGGAATAAGTCCAACATCTCAGATTAAAATGCAAACATTTACCAGCAGCCTCTAACTTTTCGTTACAGGTTATCAGAAGCCTTAACTACGCCTTCATAGTAGATTCGATATAATACCAATATTCTTCTTCTGATTAGAATTCTCCTCGCTAAATGTAAACTTCATGTTCTCATAGGTTTCCACATACAGCAGTGTCAGCTGAATTTGGTTCAGTATGGGGAAGAGTAAGAGTGGATTAGTTACACTTATTTTGTAGCTAAATGCTATTATAGAACAAGTCAATGAAGTATTTGACAATTGGCTCCTGCCACGTATGTAAGTATAGACTCCTCACCTTGAATCCTTGAGACATTAAGAATCAGTGAATTGAAACTGTTGGTGTGAAGGCTCGTGACTGTTCGCAGTGCCACAATTATGTTTACTCCTTTTATCAATTCAATTCTAAAAGTCTTCACTTATTTTCATCTAACCAATCCGTCTCGCTTACATCGTCACCCATCGTAGTTTCATAACATTCCGCTTCTCCACTTTTATGTGTACTTCTCCAAAATACAGGGACTTAAACTGTTGCATTCTTATGCAGAAGTCCTACTTTGATAAGTCACTCATATAATTAGGGTCTAACCTTTCATAAATGAAACCAACCATATTACGGGAGGAAATCTCAAAATACCAAGAAAGTGGCAATCTATATATGTCCAAACCAAGTTCACGTTTAACAGTTTGAAAAATTTGGGCAACGGGTGTATGATATTCATTGTAATAAAGGTTTTTGTATTTCCCAACGAATGAAAAACAAAACTATCTGCTTGATTATAAAGACACAAAAGAGTTACTGATATTTTTCTTGTCAGCTGTGTACAAGTAGAGTGGATAGTTAATTAAGACCCAAAAAAATGAACCCCGTCTTATGATAACACACAACGAAATTTCTCGAACTGTAAGAAAATTGAAACTGTTTCATAGCAAGTGAATCCTGAGCTTCTAATTTAAAGCTTACAATTTGAGCATTGAATTACCTATGTATAAACCAAGAAGCAAATTAAACGACAACACTACTCAGTTTACGGCAAATATTAAGGAGATTGTAAAAGTCACTGTGTCGAGTACATCGGTCACCTACAGTCAGTTCATATTTTTATACAGAAACTACCCAACAGTAATACTGACAGCTGATAGCTTATCTGTTTCATTTACGCGGTAGCATTCTTATATACAACTATGTTAAAAGGGATACGATACCCTGATAAATTTGTAAAGTGGTCTTTACACCCAATGTAAGTTTTATAGATTGAAACATTCTGTGGTCCATTCTGATTCGTTTCATTGAAATTTATCAACTGTTGGCTTCTAATGTCTTCAGACCACTAACCAGGTAACTTAATATCCGAACAGTAAATGTTTGCTTAACAGAGATTTTTTGTTTCAAATGTACTTATTTATTTCACCTAATATGATAATTCTCAATATAATGGTGGATTTTAAAGTGGATAACGAGTTAATGCACACGTTGTGTGTACAAGTCAGATCAGTTGATATATGGTTAGCACTTTCATAAAATGTCATACTTTCCATAATTGGCACTGACTACTTAGCCTTAACATTAATATCATTATGCACAAGCAGGTTTGCAAACACATCTATGCCAGCATAATTTTATAATCTGCTCCTACTTTGCAGCTTCAGCATCCCTGCTTCAAAGTAGAATGACGTATTTTAAGTGAAAGCTTTCAGTAACTTAGTATTTCTGTATACAGGAAACAACAGTGGCATCTACTTGGAAAAAAGCGTGGGCTATGATAGCATATGTTTGAACATTAAGGCTAGAACCACAGTCCCTCTATTTTAGTGTGTATTATAATGACTTCCCCTATAAAAAGCTGTACTGATCTTCCAAAAGTAATGCAGCGATTAGAATGCAGTGCGACCAAATAAAAAATTGCAAAAATTATGAAGTTAGA